GGGTTATAATTTATAATTAAAGCAAATTTATGATATGTTCACCATCACTAGTTGTTGGAAGAATTTTGTAAATTTGCTTCAGTTCTACCATCAGAATTCCATTGGAATAGAAAATCCGTTTTTGTTTGACTATTTCATTCTCTATAATAGTCAGATGGCTCTTGGGAAATGTGAGATAAATCACAAAGAATTGCGGAATTGGCTAAGAATTTGGAATTCTAGCTCTGCCACCTAACCATCAAAAGCTTATCTTTGGTGTCCAGTTCAACATCTCAGAATATTGGATCTTTGTGGAGAGAAGAGTTAAGAATCTGGATAATGATGTGAAGGACTATAAACTTGAATATGCAGATCATTCCTTTTTCATACCCACCTGCAAGGCATGAGAATTATTCCAGTTAAATTTATCTCACATTATGAAAAACATTGACTTGAGAGAATTTTGTTTAAGAGGTTTTATCTTTATTTACTCGGCATTTTGAGCATACATAGTGCTTTTCATTCGTTTAGTTGATTTTAAATGAGAATCTGTTCTTAAACAACCTTCTGCCACCACTATTTAGTTCATTGGATTGATGCGCCACTTACAAAGGTACTTCTATTTTCTGGGTTACTGCAGTTCATGTTCTCTTAACTCTTTTCCTCTATGTACTCTTCAGGCTCTTTTTCCATTTATTGGCTTTTATTGAGCAATATTTTCAAGTAAATGTTCAGCCTGTGGTTTCTTGAGCGTATATATTTAGTGAATCTCCTTCAGTAGATGAATGCATGTCTGTTTGATTGATCTTAAGTCATACATTATTTGCAGGTGGTTGTCAGCAACACTAGTTGACTTTTACATCAATGTTGTTGCACTATCGGTATGTCTTAGCAGTCAATGCTTCATTATTGTCATTACATTAAGTACTTGCCCATGTAATATTTGTATGAGCAGACAGCAGCAACCAAATTTCAGTTGCTTAATTGCTCAACTTCTGTTCCATTGTGTGTCTCAATTTGTAGGTTTGGATTGCGTACAAGGAATCAAGTTGGATAGGTGCTTCTTTTTGGATAATTCTTTTGATATGTTTTGGCAGGTAATCTTTGTCTTAACCGCGTGGTTGTTGGGTTAATATATTACTAGGTTCAGTGTTCATGTTTTGCGGTGCATGGGTTCTATGTGAGAGTGTGTTAGCAGATGAAGAGTAAATGCTTATGCAGAGTTTTACGTACATAAATATATGCAAATGCTCTTCAATTTTTCTTTGCGGTGCATTAATAAATGAAATATATATGCTACTTTATACACATAGATGTTATCTATTACCAAGTTATGCTTCTAAGAAAGTGAAACCATCCTTCGTGATTTACCTTATTGCATGTCATTCGTTCCAAAGTTTATTGGGTCTAGAACACTTTCCAATTCTTTTTGATCTTAGTTATGTTAAGTTGGATGTAGAATCTTTGTTGGAGTGAAATCTGCATTTTGTTATGCTCGGATCACAAAGTTACGCAGCTTATACATTGAAAAAGCATTTTGCTAGCAATGCCTCTCTGTTTAGATGTACAAGAGCCTATGGCTAGGCCACAGGTGTTGTTTTTTGTTTGCATATTTTATATACTTCCTCTCTATATTACCAGGTATCTCATTCTTGTCTCACGATCAGCTGATAATAGCTGCTAAAAGCTGTTTAATGCTTCACACTTATTGCTTAGTTGAGCTTAGATGAAAGTTGAGCGATCAGGCATGAAACCTTTGTGACTGATCCATATTCCAAAAGTTATGCCCATTGTTATCGTGTTAGGCACTTATTTACATACTACTTTGCTGGCCTTTACTGTATCCTTTCTTTTCTTGATTTTCAGTATCAGCACAGGTGCCTACATACTCCTCCAGCTTTACCAGCTCTCGTCTGAGGGTCCTGTATACCTCATTCTTTTCAATAGCAGCAACAGGCAAGTCTAAATTCTGAACTTTATAAATGTAGAGTTTATTGTGTGCTGATAATTTTTGGAGGATAACCATGTGGTCTTTTAATCAGAAACCCTATTGGGCGATGGAAATAGGAATAGCAAATAGTTCTTTTGTGTAAAAGCAAGAAACACTTACCAGGCGTACCCTTGTTCAACTCTTCCTCTGTTATCTCAGTGATTGAAAGTGAAGTTTCTATGGAGTTGGTAACTAGTTACAACTTTAGTTGATTCATAGACTTTGGATAGATATAATTACTGGGTCAAACCTCCATCAATGCTGACTGGTTCCCATAAAGGCCATTGAATTTCGTTAACTAGTCTATCACTTTAGAGCAGGTTGTATGGTTCTTGAGATCAAAATGCAAGGTGGCGAAGGTTCAGTTTGAACATCTGTGTTGTGTCTTGTAACTAATATATGATAAAAATGTTGAAGTTTGAGATTTTAATAGGGTGAGCCAGGTCTGTGTTATAAATTTCCGTTTGCTCTAGTTCCTTGGTGTTCGTATCTCAAGACACATTTGTGCATAACCACTAAAATTTAGTTTTGGCTTATAAATTTTCTCTATTACGATGATGAATTTAGATGATTTTTTTGAGTATAAGAATCCAAATTACTGGACTTTGAACTCTTCTGAGTTCGACTCTCCAGGATTGGCATTTGACCTTGAAGTAGATTGGTTATAACGTCTGCAGGCACTTTAAAGGCTATAATTTTTTTTTTTTTTACTTTTTTGGCTCGGTTCTATTTTTCTAGGATCCATTGTGTTTGCTGGCACATTGTTTTTACAGATGATCCTGAGGAATGGACACATGATTTGATGGAAAAATTTTTTGATTTACTGCTGATCCTGATTAAGTGGGATGTTGATATCTGACCTCAATTCCTTCATACCCTTTTTTCCTTTTCATCCTTTCCGCTTTTTCCCGGTGCTAAAGAATCTCCTTGCTAAATTGATAGGGCAGAAAATGGCTATGAAAGAGTACTGCAAAGAGGCAATTACAGTGGGATAGCTGCGTGAAGAAACTTTCCCATGTTTCTTTTTCTGAATGACTTAACGCATCTCGATATGATCCCCCATTGGGTACTTGTCTTATTGTGTAAATTTTAGTGTCTTACTAATTTTAGAGTCTTTCTTTTAATTAAGAAGGATTACTCATTCTTCATTAGCAGGACTTGAACCCCAACATATACTAATCACCAACTCTGTGTTGATGGGTAAAATTAGCTTATCCTTAACGGTGAATTAAATCATCTCACGTAGACACACAAACACAGTATGAAGATCGGGTTGTTCCTCTTTGAGATTGAAATAGACAAACATGATACTTATTATTATTATTTTTTAATCTTGAGATGCATATATTTTAAGGCCTGGTAAAACTTTATTGGTGAATTAGTATTACAGAAAGTTATTTCGTAAAGAACAGTAAAATGTCAGTGAGAACAGCTAATAAACTTCATACTTTTCCATACATGACTTGTTTAGCAGTAAAAAATGATTTAGCTAGTAAAACTCAGTAAATCCATGACTTGATCTGCTGAGAAAGCAGCAGTAATCTAGGTCCATGCTTTCAAAATGGGAAAATCCTTGCATGTATCCATGATGCATTGCCTGCATGCGCACTAATACGCCTTGTTTCTTGCCTTTTTTATGATTAGTAGTAGTTTGAGTGATCCAGTGGTGGAAATATGCCATTGCACTCTAAGCCCCTAGGAATCCAATTGCAAGACCCACCCAATCAATCTTGAGGAAACAATAATGATGCGGTGGAAATTTGATCCATGACGTAGGCTTACAACACCTCTACAGAAACAACACAAGATTAGAATAACTTTCCGTCGCACAGAGATTATGTAGTGCATCTTACCCTTCGTGTTATTGGCGGGCTATTGCACGGGGTGAGGTTTACCCGATACGCACTCTCAAATAGCGGGTGCGGATTTTCTTGTCAAAAAAAAGAGAGACAAGATTGGAACAAAACTCACTGACTCTTGATATTTGGTTGACCTCTTTAAACTGTAATTAGTTATGTTCACAAAGTTTGTGAGTCAAACTAGCTACTTTTAAATCTTTAGGTACTAAAGGGTTGTTGAAGAATTATCACAAATCAAAATGAGAATCTGAGTATCTCGTTGACTTCATGTTGACTTAAACATGTATTGATACAGATCTATGGCATTAAACATCAACATCACGGACATAAGTACCATTATTAGATGGATGCAAAAGAAAAACAAACAACAGAATGATTCTATAATAATAACAAGCATTACAAGCTTGTGTGGTCCTTGAGCATATATCATGTCTTTATTCAATATTATCCTTCTAATTTTGGGAGCAACCAGTCTTCTAGTGTAGACTGGTATCATGAGTTTTTTTTTTTTTTTTGCCATAAACAATTGGTGCAAAACTTTCAACATATGTATGGCAATAGAAAAAATTATCATAATTCTCCAATGGGAATCGATCAACCGAATTCAACTTCGACTCACACACAGTCAAACCCCATAGGAAATGAAATTTGGCTGTCAGAAGTTCCTCATCACTTGCAGTCGAAACTCTTTTATCAATAATTTCTGGCAGTTGAAATTTTTTGAAATCTGGCAGTTCCTCATCACTTGAATTGCTTATTCTTTTCAACGCATTGGCCTATCGTAATTGAATGCACTATCGTCCAAGGAAACCTGCCCTACAACTTCTTTTGTGCATCTTTCGTTCATTAGGTTTATAACGCCTTTAGCTGGAGCTCAAGTATGATGGAAGATTCAGTTACTTGATAGACGATACAACTTAAAAAATAAATAAACAAACTTCATATTATTCTCTCGTCAACTTATAATTCGTTGACTACAAATAAAAAAAAAAAAGAGGTTACAGGACAATCGATTAGGCAGAAAGATATTGAGAAGAATACAAGCTTTTTTTTTCTTGTTTTATTGCCAACAAATAAATGAAATAAACTAATGGAAATTTTTTTTTCCATATCAATGATACTCTTTAAGGAAAGACTAGAGGTGGCTGCATGAAGAGGCCTTGCCAGCTAACTAGAATTCCAGCATTAACATTTAGGCATGTCTGGAGGTGGAGGGAGAATTTGCTCTCCTGGACCCTTGCCATCCTTAACTATGAATGCCATTTCCATTCCCCAACTTACATGACGCTCTAGATGACAATGCATGAGCCACACACCTGCAACAAATCATGTAAGCCCTTTTTCATCAATAGACTCCTTTAATTTGTTAAAGAAGACAAAATTGGGGTAATTCAATATAATCTAATTAAGTAAAAATATCCAAAAGTATATACGGCGGATATCTATATGGTTCTAAGTGTTAATCATCCCCCAACATTTTGAATTAATTAATTCACTGTACTTCTCCTTCAGGAAAATTGAAATGACATCTGAAAGAGCTATTGATCAAGCAAGCTATATGATATAACACAAGGGAAAACAATTGAACAATACATACCAGGGTTGTTTGCCTTGAACCTGATGGTTGTCCAGCCATTTCTTGGAACAGCAATAGTGTTCATGAGAGGAGGGTCAACAAGATTATAATTCAAAGGGTCCTTCTTCTCGTCAAAGTTCCCAATACCCCAGCCAACTACATAGAAACTATATCCATGTAAATGCATGGGGTGATCAATCCCAGCAACCAAATTTGTTCCCTGGAAAACAATCTCCACATTCGAGTTGTACTCAAGAACTCTAACTTGCCTATCCCTAGTAGGCCTTTGAAGTTCCGCTGGAAGATTATTTGCTGTATAGTTGAATTTCAAAGGTGGAAAACTTGGAAATTGATCTCCGTAGACTCCTTTGAGGTGGCGATAGTAAGCTTCAAGAATGTCAATATGGGGGCTCTCAAAGGTTATGTTGTTTACGCTGGCTACAAGCCGGTTGCCTCTTGGTCCAGCACAAGTATTATTTCCTTCACAAGGGAGTGTATTTATAGAAAGTGTGAAAAAAAGCTTGGTGTCCACTTTGAGCGGAACATCAACTTTACTTGCTAAACTTCTTAGGCTTCCTGTGAAAGAAGTGGATGCTTTAGTATCATTGAACAGTGGAAGATTTGGGAAAGATGGTGGTGAAGATGGAGCATAATTTCCACGATATTGTATGATTCCAGTTGTGGTGGAATTGCTGAATCTAACAGCACGGGCACTGTTATAAGCTTTAGCAGCCATGTAATAGTGAGCAGGTGCTTGATTGGCTTCTAACAAGAAGTCAATGGTTTGTCCTGGGGATATAGCAATATAATCACTCTTGAATGGCTTTGTGTAGCTCCCATCTGATCCTACCACAGTAATTTGATGCTTTGCAATGGAAAAGAAAAGGATGTTGTTCATGGCATTGTTTATCATCCGAAGCAAATAAGTCTTGCCATAATCCACCGTCAGCCTGAATGTATCTGCAAATTGTTGGAAAAATAATCATGTTGTGAATCGGAATTAAGCAGATGTATCTGCAAGATTATCATGTGTTTTGTTCTTGAGGCAAAAGTTTGTCACCCAAAATATTCACAAGATTCTTTGGTTTTTGCATAACCCTTTTCGAAAATGACCAAATTAAGACGCATTCTACAAATTCTAATGTTTAAAGAAGTTGAAAAAGTCCAAGTCCTACAAATACATATGCATACATGGAAAAATTTTCATTCGAAGTGAATGATTCTATTTTCAACTAGAATTTATATATGTGTCTGTACCTGGCTTTGAACATTCACAGAGATCACCAGGCTGACCATTTATGAGATAAGCATCAGAGACATTCGGGTCTCCTCCACCACGTAAAAACTGGCTAAGAACAGCTTGTATGTCACTCTTCCACCATTCTCCTGCATTTGCCACAGAATTTCACCAATCATGCATATTATTTGTTTTCCCAAATTCTTTTGAAAACCAAAGTCAATTAATAATATTTTATCTGCCAACAGAAGTCAAAAAGTAAATAATAGTAAATTTTATTATATACCTAAGATGATGGGCACTTCTGCATGAGGCTTGGGAAATGGATAACTATCTCCTTTCTTAGGGTAGATAATAAGAGCACCATAAACTGTTGCTCGAGACCAATCGCTATGAGCATGCCACCACAAGGTCCCAATCTCATCAGAAATCCCAATCACTTGAGTAAAGGATTCTCCAGGCATGATAGGGCACTGAGTTATGTATTCTGGACCATCTGACCATGGATACCTCGGCTGTTTCACTCCATGCCTAAAAACAAACAAAACTCATTATTTTTCTAGCCGATGAGTTCATTATGCAGGAATGCATCCTTGCAATTAAAAAGAAGAAAGGTTGTCTAAATAAATACCAGTGAATGGTGATGTTTTCTTTTCCCTTGTTGTGGACATGAACAATGGCCGTATCGCCTTGACGAATGCGCAGAGTTGGTCCTGGAAATTGGCCATTTACTGTCAATATATTCTTAGTGCTGCAAAGTCTTGTATATGAAGCTTCTTCTATCTGCATACATGAGGTGAGTTGTAAACATTAGGCCCATAAAATCAAATTCAAACCGGACAAAGATAAATTATGCGTCGTCTCTTCAACATCATTGTTGTGATGGACGAATTAATATGCATGGATAAAAGATTCTAGTGGACATTTTGATTCCGAAAAATAATAATATTGCCAATAGTTTCGAGACAACTTAAAATAGCATCCCACTTTTTTTTCTTAGGTCTACTTGCTTAACAAGAACTCAGACAATGAGATAGGTACGTACACAACTCGATATGCAACAAGTATCATATAAAATGCTTGGCAACAATATAATAACGACTTTTAGCTATGACAAAAAATTAAATGAAATTGCTTAATGGATCTTCTTAATTGATATTGAAGAAGCATAATACTCACGACAAATTTATAGCGATGCGTCAAAGCTTCGCTAGGAAGAAGAACACTAGCCAAACATAGAAACCCGACAAATTGTAGGATGAAACCCTTCATTATGAAGAACTAGAATTACTCAGGCAAAGAAGAGATATATCTTGATGCAGTATATTTCTCGTTTGTAATGAAAATGTTTGCATAAGCCTTTCACGTATTTATACATTGTCAAGGGGATAGAAAGGTTGTTTTTTTCGTCATGGTGGATAGGATCGGTGTAAACGCAGCAGACTTTGTAAACTGTTTGCAGTAGCTTTTTTACTGGTTCAAATAAAATTTTCAAACCTTTGAAAAGAACTCACCAAACCTTACTGAGTACCTTGGAATCTTCCTCTCTACTTTTGTTGTTCATTTCATCTCTGGATCCAGCTTATATGCAGGTTTTGTTGAGTAATTAAAAGAAGCACAAAATATGCTTTCATTTTAGCAGAAGGACAATAAATTGCAGAATGTGTTGCCAAATGCACAAAGAACATACATTCAAAATAGTCTACATTTCTTATGAATTAAAACCTTTCGGTGCTATAACGAGCGAGTTAGGCTAACTAATTAAACAGTCACCTTTAAGATCAATTGGCTAAAAAGTCACTCTTAAGATGTTTTCACATTTTACTTGACAAGTAAGTTAAATACTTCTGTTGCTATGTCTAAATTATTCTTTTCATCATTTGTATGGGTTACTTCCTATTCATTGTATTCATCCCACTATTGTGAGTCTCAGTTGTAATCTTCTATTTAAAAAAGAAAAAGCTTTTGTGTGTGTTCACAATGATTATTCTCTTGTTTGCACCTTCATCATCCACCTTTTTGTGAAGCATCGAGTGAAATGGTTTTAATAGAATGTTGAAGGAAATGTTTACTGCCTTCTGAAAAGTAAACAGCCATATATACTTGTCAACATTTTCTTAAGGCGAACCCTTCAAGCACCAACCAACCTAGATTAGGCCTAATTCCCCAGGAAAATGCAAGCTTGAAAAAACTCCAAAATAAATGGATAATGAAGAACACATCGTATGTCACTGACAACTTTTTACTATACCAAAATAAAATAGCAGAAAATAAATTGGTTTTAACAAACAATTAAGACAATTTTTTTTGTTTCCATGCCTCTGTGTAGCCTGATGAAAAAAAAAAGAGTTTAGATGATTTTAAACTGCCAGAGACAGTGACAACGTAGATATATATTTCGATTAAAAATTTAAATGCACAAATGAACTTAAAATGTTATATATGTTTGGCAGTTATAAACAAATATTTCATTGGAATTAGAAGAATATCGGAGGTGGGAAAAATGTGGAGACAGGTGGGAGGTTTAAAAAAAAAAAAAAAAAAAAAAAGTCAAGCAGCCCATATGAATATGGCTACAAGCTTTCGGTGTCTTCATTACCTAAACAAGAAGTTCTTTTTTGCTTTTCTTTTTAAAGTTGATATTAAAAGTAATAGGCTTGATAACGACTAATTCGTTAAAAATTAAGAAATTGTCAAACGACCAGAACAAATAGGAATCATATAATGGTTAGAGAAATGTCAATGCTGCTTTTAGTGCTCTTTGCAGCCATAAATCCATGATAGATCTCAACTGGAAAAGTCAATGCCAGCGGCCCGTTGTTTTGAGATGGTGTAACTCGTGTTGCATTACTCGGGAATTTGACATTTTTCAACACGCTATGTTTGTTTTTTTTTTCCTAAACGCTTCTTCGTTATCGCTGAATTTGGCAGACCAGCAAATTAATGCTGCAATACGAATTGGATTTTTGCTCTTAATTAGCACAATCAAGCAGACATCAAACTTTTCAAATAGTTTAGAAGAAGAGACAAAACTCCAGCTATTGTTCATCAAGCTTCAAACTTGTCATTAAAAAAAGGTAAATTACCTTTTATCTCCTGTCATTTGGTGTTTTAATACGTAACTCCATATAATTTAAAAATTTATATATAATCTTCTCATGTTTTGAGATAATAGTTTTTCTTTTAAAACTAGAGGTCAATAGCAAAAATTCAAAGTCAAACTAATAAATTGATGATAAATTTACCCTTCATTACTTCTTTTTTCCTCCAAACATGAAAAAGAAGAGATTGAAATAAAAAAATAGATAAATAAGAAATAGAAAATACAATTAAAGATTTGGTTTAAAAACTTATAATGATATTTATAATTAAAAAAAAAAGATTTCTATTTTTTGTTTCTTATTTATTTGTTTTATATTTCCCTTCCATTTTTTTTGTTTCTTATTTTTTTATTTCCCCAACATCTCTTTTGTATTTGGAGAAAATTAAGATTTTGTAGACCAAAAGTATATGTTTTTAAAATCATCTCTTCTCTTTCCAAGAATAAAAAAACAGAGAGAAAGAAAAGGAAAAAAGAAAAAATTATAGTAAAATGTGAGTTTGTTAATTTATTAGTTTGATTTTGACTTTTTACTATTGACCATTAGTTTTAATAGAAAAACTAACAGTGACACATTAACTTGAACTATGAGCGAGTTCTAAATCATATGGAGGTTACATAGTAAAATACTAAACCACAAAGGGATGAAAGGTAATTTCATCTAAACAAAAAGGCTGAAAATTGTCATAAAGGATGTTGAACTTCAACTTTCAGAACAAGGGACACTAATTAATGCTCTCTAACTAACACAAGCGATTATTGGATCCCGTGTAATGTATTAATTTCTTGGTCAAGAACGCATTACTGGTCACTCTTATGCAAGTTACATTCTTTAGCCTCAAACGGGCAATAAGGTTAACAAAATCATATGTTTATGTCTTAAACATTTAATCCTGCTTTGTCTATATAAATTTTACATTGGACCAATAGTTTTTTCCAACCAGCACTAGAGCTGTTAAGTTAGTCAAGTAGCTCGAAAGCTCGTTAGAGCTCGGCTCGTTAAGGCTCGAGCTCGGCTCGTTAATTTTGGTTAACGAATCGAGCTCGAGCTCGAAACATGCTCGTTTAGTTATCGAGCCGAGTAAGTTCGACTCGTTTGATACTCGAGTAGCTCGTTAGAGCTCGTTAATGAAGGGCATATTTGTCATTTTAGAAATCAAAATTATAAAAATTAAAAATTATAGGTTTTTATTAAGGTTAATTTTCACGAGCTCGAGCTCGAGCTCGTGAAGCTCGACTCGTTTGTGATAAACGAGTCGAGCTCGAGCTCGAGCTCGAGCCACATGTACACTTAACGAGTCGAGTTCGAACACATTTTAAAGCTCGTTTTCCTAACGAGCTCGAGTCAAACTCGGCTCGAATTAAACTCGAGTCGAGCTCGGCAGCCAAATACTCGGCTCGACTCGGCTCGATTAACAGCTCTAACCAGCACCCTTGAGTTAATCGGACCAATAGTTTTTTTCTTTTTTTTTCGAAACGTGTTATAGTTTTCTTATATTGTCAACGCGTTATGTTACTGGTTCCTTTGAAACGGATTACTTATGCGTGTAAATATACCTTTTTTACTCGGATCACTGGCAGCCAGCTGCCAACTGCCAAGACAAATTCATCAATTATTTCCGCAAAGTCGCCACAAGCAATCTTGAGGAAAAGATACTGCGATGGGAAGTTGATCCGTGATGTAGGCTTTTAATACTTTGCCATATAAATCATTTCGAAGATTTGAATAGTCCAACATATTCAAGACATATTTGGAAATTCTATACACATTAAATAGTAAAGCACCAATCCATAGAATCACAAAGAAGGAATAAGTATTTGTTTTTTATCCAAAATAAGAAAAGAAGAGCTCACAGCACCAAAAATCTTTGTTCATTTCGATTAATGTGCTGGCCACCTTATTCTGTACCCAGCTACTCGACTGTTATCTGGAGGTTCACCACAAACTTTTTAATGCAGAGCAAAAATATATATCCCAAGTAAAATCATCCAAGTGATACTTCCATGGAACTAATTGTTGGAATTACTGCCTCAGAATTTTAGTATCGAGTTAGGCAGTTAATTCTTTTCTTGATCGCTGATGACCTTATTCCCTAAAAGGTCCATGTTTTATTTCAATTCGTACATAGATTTTTCTAATAGACCAATTACTTTTCCTTCAAGATTAAAAGTCACCTTTTTCCTAGTCAGTTAATAATCCTCTAGGGTTATAGTCCGAGTTTTCGACTTTTTCTTTTTTTACTTATATGTCTAAAAAACATACACTCAAAGCCTTGTTTTACGAGTGGATATGACCAGAATTAGCCCCTAGAAAATAATCGTCTGAAGATTCAGATCGCACCATGGAGACTTTTTCTTTAATTCATAGTTAATGTATTCAGAGTACTATAATTTCTTAACACTAAAGAGAATGAATGGGCTCGCAGATTCGACTCCATCTCCAAGACAGTACCTAGCCCCCCATGAAGTTCAAAGTTTGGCCACCAAAAGCTCCAAAGCTGTCATTAATAGGAAGCTTAAGCTGAGGGACATAAACATCTAAATACGATCACCTAGTTATACTCTAGTACTAGTAAATATGGGGTTGTTTGAATACTGACTTCTAGAGAAAAAAAAAACAAACGAAAATTTATTACATTATAAGAACATATTTGAAACATCTTTTATTCTTCCGACTACATTTGTATGTTACATACATCATATAAAAATTTGTATTATTATGAAAAATTTTATTTAAATAATCTTCTATCCAAACAAACATCCACCACAAAAAAAAAAAAGAAGAAGAAAAAAATCTTTCACCCTTTTTGCTAGTCTAATTAGTTGTCTAATTGCCTGAAATTCCGGTGGAGTTCACAAGCAAATCTTAGGAAACAAGCGTGATCTTCCGTCAACATTTAGACTTGAATTGTAAAGGGGGAAAACTTGGAAACTGATCTCCATAGACTGCTGTAAGGTTGCGATAGTAAGCCTCAAGAATGTCAATGTGGGAATTATAGGAGGTTATGTTGTTCACGTTGGCTGCAACCCGGGTGCCTTTAGGTCCAGTACAAGTATTATTTGCTTCACAAGGAAGTAAATTCAGGGAGATTGTAAAGAAAAGCTTGGCGTCCACTTCTAGTGGAACATCAACTTTATTTGCTAAGTTTCTTAGGCTTCCTACGAAAGAAGT